CTATTCCAAGACAAAAGAAATCTTAAAAAAAAATTCCCATGGTACTTCGAAAAACTTTTAGGGTCTTTCTTACATTCTTCGCTCTTGGCATTATTAAATCCCCTGCTAGACTGTGAGCACTTTGAGTTTAATTCAACCCAACAGACATATATTAAGTGTCTACTGTGTGTCAGGGACTCTGTCTACATACTCATAATGAAGATAAGAGAATCCCTGGAATTTTTTACAGGATAAAAAGGAGATGATTCTGCCTTGTTTACCCCTGTGACCTAGAACAGTGTCTTGCAGGGATGAATTCAGTAAACACTTAACTGAATTTAATTGAATTAGGTCAGTAATAACCATACAGATCACTCTAAGGGCAGTAATGGTTGCCTTTTATTGAGCATGTAGTATGTGCAACACACTATGCGAAGCACTGCACCTGCTTTTGCAAATTTAATGCTCCGAACAGCCCTGTGAAAGAGGGCCCTCCCTAAACAGAGGGAAACATGGTAATCTGGGGTGTAAGTCTGGGCATAAGTTTGCCAAGATGACAAACTTAGTTAGAGCTGAGTTCAACCTAGGTCTATCTGATGTCAAAAAGTAGGATCCAGAGACATTTACAACCTTACCAAACCACTTGTATTCTTTGTGCTACAATTTCCCTGTTGGTAACGTGAGGTGGAAGCACTGAATTACTAAAACTCTTTCCACTGTTCTAGCCTATGATTCTAGCAGTTTGGAGTTTTTAACTGAGCTTCCATTTGGATGGTAAACAACATAAAAATTAAAAAAGAAAACCCCACCAACTTGTAATATAGGTCCATAATCCCTTATGTGAAGTTCTAAAATCCAAAAGGTTCTGAATATTGAATCCTTTTTAGTAAGTTTAGGTTTAGTAAGTTAGTAAGCTTTCTAAAACAGATTTAGCAGCAAAAGCTGACCTGAGTTGATGGGAAAGTTTTTTATCATCTCAGTTCATTTTGCTTGGTGAGATTATTTATCTATTTTACTGCAGAAATATTAAGGGATACTGACCCACACCCATTGGGGGTGTTAATACATAATATGTACTCTGTTTCTTTTCTAAAAATCCTCAAATTCTGAACACATGGCTGCCAAGATTTTCATATAAAGCATTGTGGACCTGTACCAATATGCCAACATATCCAGTTATTTAACACCAACTTAAGATACACAGGAGTTCATGGAGCTCACTGTAGATCAGAAATGCAAGAGCAGGGCAGCAGAAAAGCTAGAGGGTAGTGGTGGTGGTGGCTGGAGTCACTGGGGCCACCTGGACAACGTGAAGGATTCACTTGTGCAATTCTCATGTGGGGATCACGTGCTCCCAGCACTAAGCTTTTCACGTTTGGCACCAGCTTTTGTAAAGCCCATAGCTGATTAACATTACAGACTTTTCTATGAACAAAAGGGCAATGGAAGTGCTTCCAGTAGGCAGAATTTCAATAAGTGGTTGCTCACTCCTGTGCAGTGATCTGTTGAAGCAATTGGAACTGTTTTAGATCAGAAAGGCCATCATTTGTTTTCTCTGTTTAAACTTTTTTCTCAAAGAGCATGTAAAGAATTAGAGAACCCTTGTCACTATCTTTTCCAAGAAACTCCTGTTTTTGTGTTTGACTCCCTATTTTAAAGCTTGATGAGAGGACATTTAGAAACTTGTAAGTAAAATCCTGTTCCCAAGCTGGAAGAATATTTTACAAAATGTCACTGTTACATAGTCTTTCTCTTTCAAATGTCAAGTTTTTGAGGTTTAACAAGAAGAGATTGAGCTGGCAACTGAAATCACATTTTTCTGTATTTCTCAACTGTTCAAGTGCATTTTCATATCTGCCGCAAATGTAAGTTTCAGGTGATTAGCAAAAGACCCAAGTATTGGAAATAAAAAGGAAAAGGAATGGTTATGCAGAATTTCTTTTGCACTTTAAGATTTAAAATATGAGCACAGTTAGCAGGAAT